CATCCTGTATGGAAATTTTTCCACTACATAGCTTGGTGTCACCTGCAAACATGGACATGGTACTTTTAATCCCAAACTGTATATCATTTAAAAACAGGTTAAAAAGTAAGAGTCCTAACACTGAACCACTGAACATTATTAACCTTAGACCATTCAGAGTATGAAAAGAAAGCAGATTTGTTTGACAACTTTGGTCTTTTGTGAATCAATGCTGTATATTGCTTAAAATATTGTTTTCTAGCCAAAACTCGTCTATGTAGTCTTTTATCAAACTCCCAGTTATCTTCTGGACAATAGAAGTTAAGGCTTTAGTCCCTCTATAAATATAGACACCATGTTGCTGTTTCACTAATCTAGTGTTGAACCAGTCATTAAAATTAGAAACAATGGCTTGGAAATAACAGAGCTCAACTCTTTGAGGACATGTGTAAGGCATCTAGTCCAGATGCTTTATTCACCTTTTTTTTGCTCTAAATGTTTCTGGACCTTATCAATTTTGAGCCATTAGGGTTCTTTTGGGGCTATGTAAATACTATGCCTATTATGGAATTCCTATCCTTCCTTCCTATCCTTTGTGCACACAGAGCTGAAGAATGTATGAAAGATGTCTGTTTGTCCCTAGTAATCAACTCTAAATTATAGTGTTACCACTTACATGAAATGAAATTAAATCATGTTATGGTCCTGAGATGTTCTTTTATATGAATATAATTAATAGGCTCTAAATGTTTGGAGTTTGTCGAGTCCAGAAGAGCATTTTTCTAGTTGGGGCTTCTATAAAATGTACCCTAATATTGTATTGTAATAGGTTTAAGATGTCTGCCCTTTTACACTTCCAGCAGTGCAATCCCTCCAATCAATTTCAAGGTAGTTAAAATCTTCCATTACTACCACTGTCCCAGCCTTTGCAACTCTTGCTGTCAGTGCAAGGACCTGAGTCTCTACCGCCTCATTAGCACTGAGGGGCCCAAACGTCAGTAATTACCTTGAAGTACATACACTCATATGCTGCTCATATGCTGTAATGCTTCAGCACCATCACACCCATCAACAAGGTCCTTTTCAACATTACAACTTTGAATTCACTTCTCACATAGAGATAGACACCACCACCTTTTAATTTTATCAGTTTCTTGGAAAGAAAGCATAGCCAGGAATATTAATTTCAGTCATGCAAAGAATTAAGCCAATATTCAGCATCATCAATTAAATTATAGTTATTATTATGCAACACAGCTTTAAACCCTCCTATTTTGCTTTTCCCATTCCATCCACTATTAATGTCTGACCCCTGTCTTCCTTGTCTGCTCCATTATATTTTAGGTATCCCTTCTCCTCGGTACTAGTCTAAATAATCCTCCAGCCTTACATAAACCTCTTCCCTTGCATATTTATTGTGCATAAATCAAATTGTGTACCACCGTATCCCTTTTAATATATGATTGCAACATGGGACATGTATGTGGTCCCATAACATTTTACATCTAGTTTTGGGGTTGAGCACCACTGAGGTACACAACCAGTTTCCTCCCACACTCCAAAGACATGCTGGTAGGTTAATTGGATCCTGTCTAAAATTGTCCCTAGTATGTGTATGTATGAATGTAAGTTAGGGACCTTAGATTGTACACCCCTTGAGGGTTAGGGACTGATTTGAATGAATAAAAATATATATGAAAAGCGCTGCGTAAATTGACGGCGCTATAAGAGCACCTGAAATAAAATAACATAAATAAAATAGTAATTGTATGAGAAATTTTAACAAAATGTCTAAGGAATATAGGCTATAATATATAGCCTGTAACTACAAAACCCTAATTAGTTCTTCTATTAGGCAAAGTGTGGGTATAGTGGTCCTTTAAGATATAATTAAAACCAGAACAGTAATGACCATGGTAAAAAGAATATAATATTACCCATACTTCCCTTGTACTACCCTAAACATTAGTGAGAAGTCTGCTTCCTGAGGATTAAAATACAAAAATAATGTTTATTTATGAATCTTATTACTAAGAGTAGTGGAGACCTAATTCTAACAATAATCTGTAACAAAATCAACAAATATCTCCAAGGACAACTTATTAGTTAGCATAATGATGAAACATTAAATTAAATTTATATGATTTACTGTGGTCTAAACCCCAAAACTCTGAAAATGTAAGAGTAATGAAATCATATCAATTTGAGAATTATAGACCTGCTTTTAATTTTCTAATGCTATCTAAGGGAATGCCATTTTGTTTTTTATTACCATGCTCCCTGCCAATCCTGCAAGACATAATGCTGTAATCAGCGTAAGGTCCAAAAAATAATCGTAGTGCTTTTGTATACTTGCTCACAACCCAGGTTGCCTTTCTATTACTCAATACCAGTTCCAACAGCTCCTACAATGAAGTTAGAAGTTACTTTGTATCTGAGAAATGATATGCTTTATGGAACATTGCATTCCATTTAGCTTATATACCAAGTGAATACCTAATACTGCCGGCATTCTGATATCTTACATTTCCGAAATTGTTTATCATACTGTTATGTTCTATATACAGTTCTGAATTGCACTGATATTATGGGAGACGTGTGTTACATGCATTGGGGCACCTTGATTTTATTCTTACTGCCTAATATCTATTGTATCATATCCAAGCAGAGACAATAAGTAAAACTAAGTCTAGGTACTCGCAAACAAACTCACAAGTATATATGGTGAATGCACAGCTAGCCAACTTCTCAGCTAATTCACTCTATAATTTTAACAGAAAAATTGTGACAGCACATGTGTCAGCTGTCGAAAATCAACAATTTTTTTGTCACTAAGGTGCTACTTCTCGCATACTATAGACATCAATTGCTCATAGCTCCTTGCATCTCATTCCAGCTGTCTCTGTTTAAAATAATAGAAAGTTATTACTTGACATTTTATAGGCAGTTGGAAAGTATTTAAAAAATTGGTTTCATTTCCCATCTCTCCTTGTTTTGACCTTTCATTCTCTCAGTGTTTCCTTCACTGTTGATAAAAAAATCAAGGTAAGCAGGTTGATTGACAAATTGAAGCTCATATTAGATAGTGAAGAATGGTCTAACTGTATCCTTTTACATAGCAGGCATTAGCAATCTTTACCAAAAAGGTGAAGCATTGCAAGAAAATTACATAATTATGAATGAGTGAGAAAGTCCTTTATGTCATGAAGATAAAAAAGTGCTTTTTTAAAAACAAAAACAAAGACAAAAATTACCATATCTTAGGAGTAAAAAACAGTGCCACATCCCATATGTATACATCCAAAAATTAGGAACCCAAAACTTCCATTATGTGAAAGAGACTTTCAAGGCCTCGTATAGTTATAGGCAGCAAAGACACAATTAAGAAAAATAAAATAAAACAAATTCAAGCATCACAAATCATCAATAAACCCCTACAAAATGATTTTTCATATTCTCCCTTTAGGTAATAATCTACAATATTTCATGCAACACATAGACACTCAAAAGAAATCCATACATGTTCCAAAGTGACACGTGGGTTTATTTACTAAAGCTGGAGAGTGCAAAATCAGGCTCACTTCTGCATAGAAACCAATCAGCTTCCAGGTTTTATTGCCAAAGCTTAATTAAACAAGCTGAGATTAGAAGCTGATTGGTTTCTATGCTGAAGTGAACCTGATTTTGCACTTTCCAGCTTTAGTAAATAAACCACATGGCATCAACGTTTTGCATTAACTATTGTAAAAAGTTATGTTGTACAGATTTAATGATGAATTATGATTAATACATTACTTGTCTTAATCTTAATCACCTTAATTGTGCCTTTGCTGCCTATAACTGTACGGTGCCATTAAAGTTCCTTTCAATTAGTGGAATGTTTCGGTTCCTAATTTTTGATTGATTTTAAAAAATAGGAATACTACTATGATGAACAAAATTATACCATACAAACAGTAATTTTAGGCAAACAAAAAGGAACAGGATAAAAGAAAAAAGAAAAGATAAGTCTCATGCCCACTGATTGCCATGTCAAGTTGAGCGTGAGGAAAACTTTTCAAGTTCATTTCCATGCAACTATCAGCTTAAGGCCCAACTTTGACCAAAACATTTTATTTTGCTTTGAATACAGCAAGGAAGAGTTAGGTGCTCTGTCAGGTTTATTAATATTTGTGCCACTATATCTTGTCTGAACTGGAAGCAATGGGAAGTCTCTCCAACATGAACACATACAGACACACCTTTTAGTAGATTGAAGAAGGGTTAAAACTTATGAAAATGTTTTTATTACTGTCTGAAATCTTATGTTCCAATGAGAACAAACTTCCCCTATTTCTTGCACAGACACAGCAGAAAAAAAAATACAAATCTATTAAAAATTTAAACTCTTCCATACTCTTCCTATAAAAGTAATTTGCAATTATTCTTGAAACAAGTCGGCCTATTCATCATTTTCCTATGTTCCTGTCCTATGAGCTCAATCAGTTGGCCATGGGCTTGCTTATCTAATAGATCTGCACACCACAGGTTTATCATGCTGCTACTGCTTAAGAGGCAGTGATTTAAACCCCCAGAAAAAAAATGTAATACATTGCAGGTTACAAATCCTTAGATGTGGTGGATGCATTGATTTTCTTTTTTAGACTTTTTTTCTTTATTTTCTGCTGGTGATCCAGCCAATAATACACCTCCTGTCTTAGGACAGCTACACTCTCTTGTATAACAATATAACCACCCTTGGGCAGCAACCTTGCCAACCCGTGGAGAGGGACATGTTGGATGAACTAGTAGATTTAAATGGGCTTCACATATGTGACTAACAAATTAAACCCTGACTCCAACTAACACTTTTTAGCAGTTACATATTTTTTGTTCCTTTTAAGACAAAGGTTTTATCAAAATGCATAAAATATGACCATTGTAAGTACCCCTGTTGCTAGAAAAAGAAGGTTAAAATTAGCAAATTTACTGGCAGGATCAGCAGTTGAAATAAAAAGAAAGAAAAGTCTAAAAAAAGAAACATAATGGGGTTTATTTACTAAAGCTGGAGAGTCCAAAATCAGACTCACTTCTGCATAGAAACCAATCAGCTTCCAGGTTTCATTGCCAAAGCTTCATTGAACAAGCTGAGGTTAGAAGCTGATTGGTTTCTATGCAGAAGGGAGTCTGATTTTGGACTCTCCAGCTTTAGTAAATAAACCCCAATGTGACCACCACATTGTTTTGTCTGATTTGTTTTTGGATTGGATCTCCATGTAAGAACCTTTTTAACAAAAAAAAGCAAAAAAAAAAAAAACTGTACAGTGAATCTTGATGTCAAAAATACTGAAAAAGGCATTTTGGGCTTGCATACACATTAAGAACCTGGGTATCATATCACAGGACCATCTTTTTAAATGCAGTTATATGCAGTAGGGTCTTGCTCGCCCTGCCATAAATTATAGCTTGTTATATTCAGTGTCCAGTCAACCCAGAGTTACAGCTGTTTTGCTCACAGCATTTTGATACAGTAAATACCCCAAAACAATCTGCTTCTGTTCAAAACACCATGCAATGGTCTGAAATGTCCAGTGATTCCATTACTTACCACTTATGTCTTTTTAATGAAGTTGCTCTTGTTGAAAAAAAGCTGTGTTGGGATATGGTAATAACATTACTAATGTTTAATTTTTTCTATTATGTTTGTTAAACACATTGCATTACATGAAACCAGAAAAGCAACCAAATTAGCCTGCCAAGTTCTATCCTGAAATGTTTATCTGTCAGTTATTGTTTATTAACTTTAGTAGCTTCTGAGTCAATTTCACATGCTGATATGAATACTTGTCCCTGGCCAGTAACACACACAGGATTGCTAATTATTAAGCATTTAACATTTTATTTAGGAGTCCAGCAATGGGATAATCTATATACCTCCCACTGAAAGTTGATGGAATAACTGTCTTTATGTAATTACAATGCAGCTAGATTGATTGCAAAAGCATCAAATCAAATTCACTACTGTGACTACTACCAAGGCCATCTTAATAGCATCTTAATAGCAGCAGGCCCTTGGGAAACGTAATGCATTGGGCCCTTACTAGGGAGACTGCAGCAAAAGTGGGTGTGGCTAAATTATGTGAATATTGATTGTGGCTTTTTAGTATGATTATAAGCAACAAATAAAACAACCAGGGAATTATCCCAAATTACATTCATCCCCTGTACACACTGTCCTGCCCCCTCTACACACTGCTCCCCCTGTATACACTGCCCCCATCGTAAATGCCTCTCCTAGCCTGTCAGCAGCCTGTAGTTAAGTATGTCTGTACATTACTGTTAGGCCTTGTTCGTACAGCCATACTTAAACACACACATGTGCAAGGGCCATGTTTGCCCACATGGGCATGAGGATGCACAGGTGTTCATTACATCCTCATGCAGGCAGTCCCACTTTTATAGCTTACTGCATCTGGCTGACCAGAGTTTGGCATATAAACCACCGAGTAAGATGCCTGTGTACACAGTACTTTATGGAAGGGAGTTGGGGTCCAGGGGTGCCCATGCATTAGCACACCCCTGACTACTACCACTAAGTAGTCAAGATAGAGCCTGTACTTTCAAAAACAAGTCAAAAATGGCAGCACCCATACCTAAGCTGGTTTGTATAAAGAGCTTTAGATATTCCATTTCATATTCCTTTAAGTCTCACTTTGCTGCAATGAAAAAAACCCCATAGCAGAACACACATTTACAGATTCATAAATATTTAAGCACAAAAAAATACTTATGGAATTCCCATTAAAAATATCCTGTATCTTTTGACATAGAATATACTGATAAGTGGACTTTGCAGAGCATGGTAAGCAATTATATGCAGAACATTGTGTTTAATATGATGTGTTAGGTTGCAGCATGTGGTGAAATAAGTCTTCTGGGATCGACTTAAACTGTGTAACTTGATCGACTCAATTTCTTTCACATTAACAGGTGCTGTATCTGGAGTCCCCTTGTACTGAAACAAGAACAGCTTCAGCAAGATGATGAGCTTTGCTTCAAATCAACTGACCTACTGACTGCAATTATAAATAGGTAAATGGAGACAGACCACACTTTCATTGCTTAAACATAACAGCACTGCATGTAAACATGATTTCTTCTTAACCATTTGTAACTCACAGCAGCGGAAACAGATGTAAATCAGGCAATCAAGTCGGGTAGCCGTACGGAACATGATAATATAAGTGTACAGAAAGTTTGCTTAACAACTATTGATATAATCTTGGGGTTACATAATAAATCAATGATTCCTGCTTTCACAATTGAATATCTCCTTTCTCCATTCCTGGTCATCTAATAGTATTGGTCTTTGTGCATGTACAGCCAAAGTAGACAATGCACCTAAATAACAGGAGGAAAGGCAGTTTCTGTGCATGGCTGAGTGCTCTACAGCTTAAAAGTGAAAAAAATGTTATAAAACATTATATAAATAAAACACTGTCAATAACCATGAGTAATTCCTAACTAATAAGCAACCTATTGTCAAAAATAAGGAATGGGGAGCTGGGCACTGTCATGGGGGACATGTGCTTATGACCACAAATGTGTTAAATATATTGCACAACAGGGAGAGGGTCCTTTTCATGCAGGATCAAGGGTGACATGTTATAGGAAAGCTTTGCAGAAAAAAATTATATAACAGCTTACTGATTCAGGACAACAGCAAAAAGTGATTGCTGCTCTCAAATCAATCACATACCAAAATATTTAGGATATATATGGACATGACCATATTTGGTCAATGATGGTTTTTTCCTTTTCAGGTTGGCAGGGGGCGGGCATCAAAATTGGCTTGGATCTGCTTCATTGGTCTACATGATTTATGGTGGATTTATATTGTGAAACATTTTTAAAGTTTTTTTTTAAAATTAAAGCACTTGTCAAAAACTGTTCGTGTGTATTTACCATTGACATTGTTTTACCCATTTATAACCATTTAGGGGGCAGTATTTGGGGATGTAAAAACAGAGAAGGCAGGGAGAGTGGATCAGTAAAGGTTTTGCTTTATTTCATAAAAACACATAGCCACTTACATGTAGTAAAACTATGATTGGCATGAAGTGTAGAAGGAAACTACATGGAAGCAGCCAGAGATGGTATCTGAGCTTCGATCAGAAAGGCTCCATGGTATCAAAGACATATGAAGATGATGGCATCTACAACTTTCTTGCATGCATCTTGTCTCACAGCAAGGAAAGTGTTAGAGGGGATGATAAGGCATGGTCTTTGTCATGCTCGATTTATGTATTTGGGGACAATTTTATTTTTAAAGGGAGTTCTAAATTCCAATAAACCCTGCAGACCCCAATACCCATGCGCCAGAGTTGTGAGGTAAAGGTCCTTGTCCTCATCAACATGGGGACAGGTGCTTGTCAAGAAGGTAACCCTCCATGTTGAGGCCATGTGGCCTGGTATGGTTTGGGAGGGGGACACGTACCCCCAAATTTCCTGACGAGCCAGGTTACATGCAAAAGTCTGGTATGGATTTTTAGGGGGACTTCATAAAATGTTTTTTTTTTGCATAGAGTCCCTCTTAGAATCTGTACCAGAATCAAAGGGTTAAAACATTAGCAATGTGTAAAGAATGCTATTTCTAAAAGTGATATATATTCTGTCCTGTTGTCTGTTTTAAACAAATAGGTTGTTATCCCTGCTCTAGCTTGACAAAAGAAGAATCTCTGGTTTACCAGTGCAGTAGATTATGCCTGTAAAAGAACCAGCAATATAAATGGTAACTGCATGCATATAAAAAACAGAAAATCTGGTCTAAGGCTGTGGAATAATTATGTTTCCCCTTTATCTGTCTACCTTATTGAAATAAAAAGAATTACCTTTTATTAAGACTGGGACATCACCTTGTAGTTGGAAAAAGGTTAGACTTCAAAAGAACTTCCTAATACTTACATACACATTTTATGTTCATGCATGGTTATTGGATAGGCAAGGTTTGCAGTACCTTTTTCATCTAAGCACATACCGTCAGCAGTCTTTTCCCTCACTGGTGTTGTCTTGGTCAGTTATGTTCACAGACAATTCTGATTGTCATCTATCCCTGTTCCTAGATAGGCATTTGATGTCTACTTGTACTATAAGGTTCACAATAAAAAAATATATATTTTTTTATATTACAGTACACAGTACCACTATATGCAGAGCATTGTAGTGTAGTACCTGAATTTGGGCTGATATCCGCTATTATAGACCCTTATACAACAGCACTTAATGTTGACAAGAAACATGTTGACAAAAAAAGTCATGAGTTAGTAAGGGAATGACCTTATTTACCTTAGTGACTTAATTATATTGGTGGTCACAAATCTATCCAGGAATAGGGCTGTGGACATTCCAACCCCATTAGAAGATTAGATTCATAAAAAAGTTACCATACTGTGCCTTGTCTGCGGGTATACCTTGAGACAGATTAATACTTGTCTCCAAGTATATATACATGGAAACAGCCATTATTGGTAAATAAATATGCAAGGCCTGCTTCATCTGTTGTATATACATAATGGTTCTGCTTTCCTGCTTCTTTTTTAAATCAAATGAATGGTTGGCTAACTTACTAAAAACAATCCACTACTTATCTGTAAGTGATAATGTAGTTGCACATTATAGCAGACCTAACTGTATGGCTTCCTCCAGCAATAAAACATCCACAGATTCCTCTTGTCACTTAGTCCACTGCCATCTATTGCTTGGCCTAGTGTCTTTTTTTTAGTGACTGTGTGTCCACTGATGATGTAACTGCTGTGTATGCCTGCTGGAGTTACAGCATCCTAACAAAAGGCACCAGTCTTGGCATTTTTTTACATTTAAATCCACTTTTAAACGCTGCTTCCATGTAGATTCCTTCTACACTTCATGCCAATCATAGTTTTACTACATGTAAGTGGCTATGTGTTTTTATGAAATAAAGCAAAACCTTTAAAAGAAGGAAGAATGATTGCTAACTGAGTGTGTGTTCACTCTAGAGCATAATCTACAAACTGCTATATGTACAAGAACAAAATAATGGAAGATAAAACATGAAAAAGTCATATAAAAATTACCATAAAAATTAGGTAAGCACTGTAAATAAAACAAAAAATATTTGTTCACTGAAAAGATACCAG